TATCAAATTGTGAAGCCACTGGGTTTTGTGCAACATTGCTTTGTAATCAGAGCATTACATGTGAGTCAGCCCTGGCCTTGCATCTATTTTCCTGGGAGGCAGACAGACTCTTGTCAAAGTCCTGGCCGAGCAGGGCTCTTCTCCTTCTGAATTACCCTGGGTGACACCTGCAGGTTTTACCAGACACCATTCCCACGGCGTCAACTGCCTTGCATCGTCAGGCTTCATAGTGCTCTGGCTGACCCTTTCCAAAATGATCTCAAGTCACCTCCTATCCAAGGGCTTGTGGGACAGAGCCTGAAGTCCACGGGGAACAGTTGGCTAATGGACGTTTAGTTTTAGATTCAACCAGATTAACTGCCACTTTACCATGCTTACTATCTATAGTGGCACTACCGAAAACTTCCTAGATGTCCCCATCAAAGCCAGGGTGTGCATATTTCATTAGTCCTTAAAAATGATCCAGATTCCTGATTGCCAGCTTGAAGTGATCTGAAGACTCAGCAGTTCTCTGCGTTTTGAGGCTCGCTTGAAACTAGGGTGTTAGTGCATTACCTTAGGGCCTACTGCCATTTCATCCATGTGGAGAAAGTGAGAACCCAAGACAGAAACCGTTGGTGAAAGTAATGGACAGGTTCATGGCTGCAAAGCAGTTTTTCCATGTTCGTTTACACATAGTCCTCAGCCGTGCCCAGCACCACATGAGGCTCTAGAAGCATACTTAGTTTGTGTTCGTTACAGCTGCTATAGTGGAAGACAGCACTTTCATGCGTTAAAAACACCAGGCAATGTGTAACGTTTGCCTTTCGAGAGAACAGCACTGTTCCGAAGAACCTGCCAGTGGTGCCAAGATTATGTCGTTGCTGTGAACATCACCATGAACTGCCACAGCTCTTGGTTGTTAAGTTCAGCTTCCCTCTAAACCTTGTATTTTTTGAGAATTTGAGAAGACAACCATAGTGATGCAATTAGTGTTTTATTTCAGGTCACCAGCCAACCAAAGACGCTCATCCCGTTGTTTCCAAGAAGCTCAGACAAGGCTGGCGGCTTTGTTTCCACACTAGCAGTGAAGGAGCACGGATAGCTTTTGGCAAATATTTACCCTTTTCAGTATCAGTACTGTGAGGATATGTACTTGGGGGCATGGTGTTCACGAGAGCGGTACTGTAGGCTTCAATGACAGTGACGAACTGTTCTTAGGTGCACACAGTCTCATCGGGCGGCTTCTGTCATTTCTAAACTTCTGTCCCTTGTTTGGTGGCCATTAGCGATCCAAGGTGGCCAAGTTGCCTAATGTCCTGAGATGCAGTGGGCTTCACCCAGTGTGGGTGCTCACTGGGCACCCTTCAGTCCCAGTGTCTCTCCCCCCTGCTGACTTGTCTTTCTCCTTTCTATTTTGTGAAAAAATCCTCACAGATTACGTGATCAGATTATTGAAAATTCGGCAAATAGAGGAGAAAAAGGTATCACTAGGATTCTGCAGTATTTTCTCTCTTTTTTAATAAATAAAACTAAATACATAATTTCTTTTTTTCAGAGAGAGATTTTTGCTATAGTATGTGTGTCCCTGCCAGAGAGACAGAGACAGAGACACAGAAAGTGAGAAATCACACACACCCTCCCCACCAAGGGATGGCCATGCTGCAGTCCCTTCTCCTCCATTCTCCTCTCAGGATTTTGGGCAGGCTCCCACATGTGCCTGGCACGAGTTTTAAGCCACCGGGTCTGGGACTCGAACCATGGTCAACTACATGGGAGTCTAGCAACATAGCCATTATGCCATCTCCTGGTTCCTCTGTATTTTTTAAGTAGGTGTGTATGTGTGTGTGTGGACTGTTGCAGTTGTAGGTGACAGAAACGTAATTCCAGTCGCCTTAAGTGAAGAGGAGGATTTATTCTCCAAGGTCAAGGGCAAAAATTTGCCTTGGCCCGAGGGCCAGGAGAGCCAGGGAACTCCCTCCAGCCTTCAGACAGAGTACATCGCAGGCTTCTTTCTCTGATTCTGTCCCTTTCTTTCATTCAGCTTTTTCCACATGGTAGAAACTACTTTCACAGGATCCTCCCAAATTTTATTTCTTGCCACTTCGGTCACCCAGAGAGTTAAACCCAATTCTTGTGTGGATCTGGGCACATTATTGGGTTATCAGGAAAGTCATGATGCATTTTTGCATAGAAAAACATTGAAAAATATGTCATGACTCTCCCAGCGACCAATACTCCTGGGTAACTATTTGATCACTGGGGTTGAGGGCTGAGGGCTCTGCAGATTTCCACTTCTTAGCCCCCAGGTATGCATCAGCCTTCCCTTTAATTTGTTCAGGCTCCCAGCTGCCCCCACCAGACATAGTCCAGCCATCCCACATCAGGCTGCAAACCCGTTCTCACCTGGGTGTTCTCCAGTCCTGGGTGCTCCTGGCCATGCACTGTCCTCTGGTTCAGGTGGGAGCAGCCCATGTGTAGTTTGTCACCATTTGGACTTGGTGAACTAAAATGTTCATCACTCCCAAAACAGTGAGTGACCTTTGATCCTGGGCTGAGGTGAGTGCCTTCTGAGGCTTATTCATATGCTGAGATTCATTTCCTAGTTCCAAAGGTAGAGTTAAAAGCAGACTTGGGGTCAGTGGGTGGTGTAGTGGTTAAGGCGTTGGACTCCCACATGGCTGACTGCGGTTGAAAATCTCGCTGGGTGCATGTGCGTGTGTGCCCAAAATTCCTAGAGGAGACTGGAGGAGAAGGGGTTTGCGCATGGCCATCCCCCCTGGAGGGTGATTTCTCACTTTCCCTCTCTCTGTCTCTCTCTAGCAAGCCATGCATACACCCTATGGCAAAAAACTAAAAAAAAAAAAAAAAAACAGACTCTTCTCAGACCTAAAACCTTGCACAGGGAATAGACCTAGCAGATGCCAATAAAGCCTGATGTGATTTCTCCCATCTTTGTGAGTGGGCCCTGGGCAAAGCCAAGGCTAAACCTGTCCCCTCCAGACCAGGCATTTTCAAGAAATGGCGTGAACCAGGTTCTGGCAGCCGCTTCACCCACACTGCCAGTGGGTCTCCACAGCGGAACAGGAATGCAGGGACTCTGATGTTTATCCTGCCACCTGAGGCTGGCTCTGAGAGAGCCCTTTCCCTTTAAAGGGATTAACTAGGCGTCATCTCCTCCTCTCCCTCTTACTGAGAGTAACTAGGCATTCTGGGATCAGCTTTCAAGCACAAGTAACCCCCAATCCTTTTGCATTTAATGCTAAAACCCAACCATACCCCTGTATGTTAAAAGTAGAATCCGTACCAAAATTCAGACTGTCATAGTATTAACCAGTTGCACTGGCCTGTTTTTAATTCAAGACCCAAAGGAGCCAGCTAATTTGCAGACGAGTGTAGTGACAAAGGAAGGAAAAAAATCTCATTATAAGGGTGGCATTGCTGAATGGGCTTCTGTCTCAAAAGAGAAGCTTTACCTAGGAAACCTTACCCGTTATAACCACATGTATGTAAACATACACGCACATGCACACGACTGCTCCCATGGAAACCATGTAGATGAGGGTATTATCCTAGCAAAGCCAGAGGACACGCAGGCAAAAAAATAAAAAAAAACCTGTCTAGTATAATTATAAACACAAACAGATTCCAAATTTTGGATTCTATATTTTTCACTTGATAGTGTATACATTTTTCTATATTACAGATTTTTCCAAGTGCTATTTTAATTATTATGTAATGTTTTATTGAGCATATGTGTCTGAATGTATTTTAGCCATTTAGATGTTATTGGAAGTTAGGTTCTTTCCATTTTTTTTGTATTTCTAAATGGGATATAGTGAGTATCATTGTGCAGAGAGCTTTTACCACATGTGAAATTATTTCTTTAGGATATGGAAATGAAATTAGAAAATCAAAAAGTATGAGTATTTTTATGCTTTCAGAGAAATTGTACTAATTTATCACTTCCAGTGGACAGTTACCAGCAATGGGTGAGAAAGTTAATTTCACATCCTTTGGCAATTTTCTTTCTTTTTTTTTTTAAGAGAGATTATTGCTATAGGATGCAAGCACTCCCCGTTGAGAGAGAGAGAGAGACAGAAAGTGAGAAATCACTCCCCAGGGGGATGGCCACACTGCAGTCCCTTCTCCTATAGTCTTCTTTTGGCATTTTGGGCATGCACACACAGGAGCCTGGTGTGAGTTTGAAGCCACCAAGTCTGGATTAGAATTGCAGTCGACCATGTGTGAGTCCAGCCAGGTAACCATTAAATACCATCTGCTGGTCCCCTTTGGCTATTTTCTTTGAAGCTTTTTTTTTTTTTTAATTCATTGAACAAAAGAGGGTACATTTTAATTTAAACTGTATTTGGATTATAGTTGAGGAAGGTTGTATTATGCTTTTTATTCATTTGCTTTTCTAACATCTTCATTGGAATTTTGTTATTTTACCATGTAGGTTCTTTATATAATGAAAGCTGTTTTTCTTATTTTACTTTAAACACTTTCCCCTAATTCATTGCATGTTAAACTCTCATACATGTGCATATATGCGTGGGAGTGTATTAGCATTCATCTTTATCATATGGGCCGGGAAAAGGCCCGGCACATTTTTACATAGGAAAAAAAATGCGTCGTGACTTTTCCAACAACCCAATAGAATCTTATGACATGACCAGGTTTTAGAGAGTCAAATAGACTGAGAGAAGAGAGTCAGAAAGCTGAGCGTTCAGTCCCCTCTGTCTCTTTGGCTGTCCATGGATTATTTCAGAGGTCCTGTCCTTGCCTGTCTCTGGGCAGGATTACTGCTTAGATAGAACAGGGTGACTGGGGCTTTAAACCTGACTTACCTGTTGCCAAGACATGTGCCCTGGATGGGAATTTAGGTTTCTAAACCTCGGTTTTGCTACCAGTCAGGTGGAGAGTTTAGAAAGAAAATTGGGGTTGGAGTTCTGTGTGTGTGTACACACCCAAGGCAAAGAATCACGTGGATGTGGCTGTTCTTCGCCATCTCGTTGCAGACTTTGGGAAGTACAAGCACAGTGACGCTTCCAGAAACTTTGCTGTTTGTGTCGACCCTGGATGGAAGTCTGCATGCTGTCAGCAAGAGGACTGGCTCAATCAAATGGACTTTAAAAGAAGGTAGGCTGGGTCTGGCCCCTGGGGGGCAGGGACGTTCGCTTAGCTGCTTTCAATTAAACATATCCAGAGAAAGAGAATCCGGTTATATGTCGATCCCCGGAGACTGGGATCAGAGCGAGGAAGAGGAATACTACTCAGGCTTTGCGGACAGCTGGAGTGTGATCGTCCACTAAGCACATCAGTTGAAGAAGCACATTTATATATGTCTTCCTTTCCTTTTGTGCTTCTGTCCAAACTTCATGCTTGTATGGCTCGAGGCCTTTCTATTCTTAGCTCTGATGGTTGGTCTTTATGGAGACATGCTGCATTAAATCTGTTAAGTCCTAATGATTAGAATCTTGTAATCATAATTGCAGGAAGGTATCTCCTCAACACCTCAGATTACTCTTTTGTTTTTATAGAGGCTGAAATAATGGAGGGCTGTAAGATTTGGCGTTCCCCCAAGTTAACCACTTTATTAGGTTGTTACGAGGGAGTAAAAAGACTAAGCTTGTTTCTCATTTAACCTGCCACGTGTGCATCTCCTGATCCACTCTTCCTGGTGGAAGTTAGCAGAGTGGAGCCTGACAGCCGGGAAATTGCATTTGATTTCCAAAGTTATCTCCCCGGATGAGGCCAGGTAAACCCCGGGATTTGGGGCAATCAGAGTCATCTTTTCTGTCCAGTAGGAATTCTCATTTGGCCCTCGCTTTGGGCCTGACCAGCATGTTCTCTTTCATCAGGACTCTGACTCATTCTCTTCATGGGCACTGCAAGAGTTTTTCCTTCCTTAATAAAGTGTTCCAAAACAGAATTCTAGATGGAAAAACATGGGCGTATGGCAGAAGGTCACGTGTCGTCTTGTGAATTCAGAGTACACCTTGTTACCACCCATAGGTGACAGCAGCGGGGCCCTCAGGCCTTCTTGCCTCTCCTGTGTGGTCCGTGCTTGGAGCCAGGAGAACTCTAAGCGACCCAAGGGCCCGGCCATCCCAGGAGCAAGTGGCCACAGAGGACTGCAGAGCCGGCTTCTGGTGCTGCATTACCGGCACCAGAACATCCTCTGTACCATGTCTCCATCACGTTCAAACCTTCCGATGTTTTTGAAATGAAAACAGTATTTTCAATTGCACAATTTCCTGTTTTGTCCAAAGGTGAACGTCAACAAGTCACAAAAGGATTGAGAGAAACACTTTGGCTGTCGAATGTTAGAACCGTCCCTGAGTTTCTGTGCTCCCGGGCAGGGCATCTTGCCCTGAGCCCCTTTCTTCTGCTTTGCTTGTGTCGTTTCCAATTGGTCTTCTCCAAGTCTTCACTTCTCCAGACAGCCTGGCTGAGTCCAGCAAAACCATCCTGTCCTATTTGTGACTTAGTTGAACATAAGAATCAGTTTGTTGTCTCCTATAACTTAGAGCTGGAAGAATTTGCTGTTTTGTACTCGATTTAATGTGTAGTTAGAGAACCCAGACTGTGAACGTACTGTGTGGGACATGAAGAAGAAAAGCAGAGCCAGCCGTCGGGGAGCCCACGGCTGACAGGGCGCCAGTGCACAGAGCTTCAGCGCAGGCAGGGTGTTGTCTCACCTGCAGAGGCCGGAGCTCGCACTGTGCTTTGAGCCATGCCCGCAGAGGGCAGGAAAGGCTTCATGGAGCCGTGGGATGGGGGAGCCATGGGGTGGAGGGAGTAGTGAGGGTGGAGGGAGCTGTGAGGGTGGAGGGAGCTATGAGGGTGGAGGGAGCTGAGCCGTGGGGGAAGGCTGCCTTTTTGTCTGGAGAGAAGCCTGGAGCAGAGGAGAGGTGGCAGCAGGTGTGGGTGCAGAGACTGGTCCCGTTCACCAGGAGCTG